TTTCAAAGGAAACAGGTAATTGAAAATTTGTGATTTTATCAATTAAATACAGGAAAAAAATATTTACAAGGTCTAAGAACATCTCTTTGGCATTTTTAAAGGTCTTCTAGCTGCTAACGACAGATTGGCTACTTTATGTAACAGATTTATACGTTTAGATATTTGTGCAGCTACATGTGTGGACTGAATGTGTCCAACTAAATCAATGTATGTTGTGTATGTCGTTGAGATATACTGTAAACTGCAAAAAAGCTTGAGCTAAGTGCCTAAATGCATTTCCAATAACATCCCCTCAGTGGTTAGGGCTCATTGTGCTATAATTATGGTGAAACATAAAAATATCTATTAATCTGTCATTTAAGTTTTTGATGTTAACATTTTGGTGAAAATCTGAATCTGTAAGTAATCAGTTATAATGAGGGATAATCAGTTGATCATTTGTATTTTCACCTCATTTTAAGGAGCATTACCTGGGCTGCCCTCCTTGTAAGAAGATTTTATTTACTATTAAAATGCAATGAAATGTCTTTATAGAGCAGGAAAAAAACTGTAGGATACATACTGCATAGAATCTTGTGAAAAACAGTACACACCAATTTGCGTTGTTTAAATTCTATGACAACTAGTAAAGAAAATGAAAGTCTCCTGATAGCTGAATGTTAAAGGCACATATCTCTTAACTGCAGAGTTCCTGGTTCATTTCTTGCTATGGACCTGTGTACCATGTTGTACTGTCTTCTCTCTCCCCTTGTTTCCTATCTACCTCTCCAATTAAGGTGAAAACATCCAAAAATAATCTTAAAAAAAAATCTGTGAGCTCTATTAATGCTGTTGTATCTGTTGTGCTTACAGCCCAGCCTGCAGGAGTGCCTGAAATCCTGAAGAAGTCACTACACAGTTGTTCAGTGAGAGGCAGAGAAGAAGTCTTCATCATTGGCAAAAACTTTCTTAAAGACACCAAAGTAATATTTCATGAGAATGTTTCTGGTAAGAAATTTGTCTTTTTGAAATATGCTCAGCCATGGACATGTTAAGTTCATCCAGTCTGAATGTGGTGTTTTATCCCAAACCAACATGATACACTGCCTCTCCAGATGAAAAATCATGGAAGGCAGAGGCTGAAATTGACATGGAGTTCTTTCACCAGGTAAAATTTGATCATCCTTGTGTTGTTTTTATACCACATGATTAATGCTTCTGAGTTCAGTAGATAGAAGCAGCCATTTCAGATTTGTATGACTGCTGATTCAAAGGTTTGAGTGGTCTCATTGCGTTCTGGTCTAATTACACTCATTCCCAGAGTGTGTACTGAGTGAGTCTCAGTGGTCCAGTTTGATCCCTTTCCCTTGTAAAAACAGATGATCACATAGTAGATCTGTTGCAGAAACTGTAGCTAATAGAAAAAAGCCCGCTCTGTGGAGTGTTTCCTTTACATTCATTTTTTTCTGACTGACACATACTGTATAGTACTTCTGTTTTTACTGAGACCCAACGTTTTCAAAGCTTTACTGCCTTCAGCTGTTAATAAGTGGAACTGTGTGAAACTCAGATGTACTGTCTTGTACTGAGAATGACATGAGCAGTAGCAGCTACATTATTAGCAGATCGGATTAATATTTTGAGATCCACGTGTAAAAAAGGTGAGCATGTTTCATGCTCAGACCTTAGATCTTATTCATGATACACTTTAAACATTAATAACTGATCGCAGGGTAATCACTGTCTAAATCCAGCCTGCTCATTCTTTTGCTACTTCCAGTCCAGTACACATTTACATTACAGATCTTCTGCACACATAGTGTGTGTATCACATCACCTAATTGCTCATGATGTGCTGGTAGAGCACAAGACACAAAGTGATGGCCTGCTCATCCAAATACTTCTCCTACTGTCACGAGTAGTCAGAATCTTAAGTGTAATACATATTTAATTGTTGTATTCACTATTTTCTAATCAACTCACCCTTTGACTGTTAGATACCTGCAGATAGACTTAATGTTGTGGTTGTTCTCATTTCCTGAGTTTATTTTTCAATGATCACCTTCAAGAATCACTTGATAGTGAAGGTTCCTCCGTACCAGAACCAAGCCATCAGCTCTGCAGTGTGCGTGGGAATCTATGTGGTGACAAATGCTGGAAGATCCCATGATGTTCAGCCTTTTACCTACACTCCAGATCCAGGTTTGTTTGAGTCAGTTTCAGTTAATCTGCTAAATCACACATGAGTTTCTCTTTGTCTCTCTTTACATCAACTGATGGGCAGACCAGCATGTTAGACAGCATGTAACCTTCTGATTACTAGTACTTTTTAGATTTTCTGGCACCACAGCTGACTCACTTAGTTTCTCAGCTAGAGGCTGTATTGTACAGTAGTATACAATCCATTTATGGTGAGCAGCACCACCTACAGTTCGGCAGGATTAGAGAGAATCAGTAGCATCAAGAGCAGCCAGTCACTAAACACAGGAACCCAGGGTCATCCACATTCAGGAACATCTTTCATCAGCACTTTCACTGGTTGCAAGGTCCTGTGGGTGCCTTGATACAAAACCCATAGTAACTAAAATGAAACAGCAGTTTAATTTACAGTAGTTTACACCACTTTTAGTGTCCTTCTTTCTTAATAACATGACTGTTATGCTGAAGATTTACATTACTGTTTGTGGAATCTGTTCATGTTCAGCAAAACATGATGCTCCTGTGAAAAAAGAGACGCCATCTTCAGTGAAGACTTGTTCTTTTGATGAACAGATTAAAGGTTATTTTCTTTTTGATAACTTTTATACATTATTCCATTATTGTTTACTCTACTTTTATGTATAGTATTTGAGAATGACAGTATTTGTTAGTGGACTGGGTCCCTGAGTGGCCCATTATTTGATTTTTTTTTTTTAGCTTAATTTAACTGTTTGAGCAGCTGAAAAGACACAGTAAAACATAAGATTTCAGTCCTTGCTCTTGCTCCTACAGTTCTAGATGGTACCTTGATGCCCTTGATGTTGCCTTTAGTGAAGAGAGAAGATGTCACTCCAATGGAGGTGACCAGCAACCTACAGTCATCTGGAGTATTTAAGGTGATGTTTGTATCTGTAACATTATTAAAGACCTTATTAATAACCTTTACATGGTGAAAACTGTTTAGATTTGATGGGAGTCATGTGATATTTCAGATTACTTAAGCATTCAGTAAAATTCAGTCCACTTCATACTTAGAGAAGTGTTCTTTGTGGATGTCGGTTTAGCACATGATTACATACCCTAAAAGCAAAATAAAGCACATCTTTTATCTTCGATTTTCTGTTGCTAGCAGTCTGATGACCTGTGTCCAGCCCAGCAGAACTCAGACATGACTGCAGGACATCTAAATAAAAACAGAATCTCCAACAACCTGACTCACCCTTCAGGCGACCCTGACAAAGGCCAGGCTTCTGTTTTTACCAACACTGAGTCCTTAAGCACCATCCAGAAGCAGGATATTGCTGTCACTAGCTCATTCTCTGTGCCTGCAGACCCCCTGCTCCAGCAAGGCCCACAGCAGTTCCTTCTGGAGCCCCGAGAAGGCCTGGGGCAGGAGAGGCCTGGCAGTGGCTCTGCAGCTGTAGGGAGGCTGTGTGGAGAACCTACACCCCAACAGCAACAGATGCCCTTGTTCCCTCCAGATGAAGTGGCCCAGTTGGAGGAGGCAGTGAGACAACTTAAAGCGAAAGGGTTCTGTAGCTTACCACTTCAGTCTGACAACTCCATGGTCAAACAGCAGCAGCAGCATATCCAGCACCAACAACAGATCCAAGAACAGGAAATTCAGCAGCAACAACAGCAGCTTCAGCAGCAGCAACAGCAGCAGCAGGTTTTGGAGAATCTACAGCAGCAGCTGTTTCAGTCACAGATTCAGATGCAGTGCAGTATGTTTCAGGATACCTCCCAGGGCAAGAACTCAGAACAGCAGGGCTCATCACAAGGAGCTGTAGCAAACCAGGGGTCTCTTTTCCAGCAGGCCCAGCAGCAGCAGCAACATCAACAACAGCAAGCAGCTCTGTTTCAGCAGGCAAATGACCTGCTTTCTGTTCAGACCAAATTTCTCCAACAGACTCCCTCTCATCCTTCACCTCCCATGTTCCACAATCCCAGCTCTTTGGCTGAAACCCAAGATTCACAGGGGGCTCTGTTTCAAAAAGCCTCTCAGGAGCAGGTCCAGGCTGCTCTCTTCCAAAACACCATGACAGTATTACAGTCTACAGAGCAACAACCCTCAACCCCTGGACTTTTCCTGCCCCAGACCCCACTGCCCACTCAGCTTACAGCCAGTAGTTCTCAACAACAACAGCAACAGCAGCAGCAACTAGCCTTCCTCAGTGCAATACAGTCTCCTGCCCCTGAACCACAGTCAGTTTTTCAGTCTCAGACCCAGCTCTCCCCCATCCAGCAGAGAAGCCCCATGGAGCAGCAGCAGCCCTCCCAGCCTCAGTCCCATGCACAGCCAGCCCAGCAGGCTGCCATGTTTCAGAACATCTCTGCACATCCATCTGCAAACACACTCTCTCCAGGCCAGCAGCAGCAGCAACAGCAGGCTGGCCTACTGTTCTGCAACAACCCCCTATCCACACCAGACCGGGCCTCCAGCCTCCTGTTCAGCAGCCAAGGCCAGATGCCTCCTTTGACTGGCAGCAATCTAGTTTCTCAAGAGCCCCAAAACCCCTCTCTGCTCTTTTCCCAAACCAGCATGGTGACAGTAGACCAGCAGGATCACTCTGAGCCCATGGCCTTAGGGAACCTCTCTGACTCACGACAGCAAGTTTTGTTTCAGGAGCAACAGCCAATGCAGCTGGGCAGCAGCTCAAACAACCGGCAACCAGTTGGTCTCTTCATGCCGCAGTCCAACATTGCCTCACTGCAGGGGGGACTGGCTCGAGAGCTTGCACAGTCAGCCATGTTTGCCTCACAGAACAGCGTGGCAAACCTGCAGACGACCACCTCTTCCCCAGTTCAGCAGCCAGGAAGTCTATTTCAGACCGCTGTGAGTGGGAGCATCAGTCAGCCCAGCCAGCCTCAACAAACTAGCCTGTTCCTTTTTGGGATTCAGAATGGTAAGGATATTGATTACCTAAGTGTGTTCCCTTGAAACTGCTGAGATGAAAGAAATGCCAGCAAGTTCAGAAATGTTACAAATCACCTTTAAGTCAAGAGTTAGAAAGCCAGTCTGAATTCCTGTGAAATCCTTTAGCAGATTAAGATTTGCTTAGCTTCTTAAAATCCTATTTAAGTGTATCACTTTACTGATGGATACATATATTTGTCATATGTTAAATTTAAGGTAATGTTTGTTTGACTTGGTCTCTGTCTTGATTGCCCAGTAAAATATATAGTTACTAATTTCTTTTGAACTTCTTAAAAGGGTCTTTAGGTTCTCTGTGTAGATGGCAAGAACTCACTATACTCAGTAATCATATTTCAGGTGAATCATGTTGAGATATGACAGTATTGTGATATCTCCACACACTCTTCATTGTCCAAACTGATGACCAAAACATACGTGATCCATATTTTATGCAGAATAATTATTGTGATTGACTTTATCCACAGTCAACAGCTCTTTCTGCCAGTTATGAAGTACACATAAGCACAAATTACACACTTGTGTACAGCATCAACACAAAATAAAGATACTTCCTATTTTACTTATCTATTCTCTTTCCTCCTTGCAGAATGTGGCCAGTTGATGAACACTCCTGGAAACACGCTGTCAGATCAGATAATAGCCATCAGCCAGTCTGGTCAGAACCAAAGAGAGAATGACGTACCCATCCAGTCCCTGCTCAACCAGTCCTTGTCTCAGGCTGGGGCTGTGCAGAACAGCATGTCTGCCTCTCAGAACATGGAGAAGATTGATGACCTGCTGGTCAGCCTGCAGGAGTCAGGCAGCAACTTAACTCGTTCATACTAATCTTTATATAGGTTAATGGATTTGTTTTTACTCTTTTTTTTTTTAACTCATAATATCTGGAGCAATGGTTAAATATAGACAAAAAAGCCAAAATGTTACATGGAAGTAAACATTTCTGAATTAGCCCTGCTTCATGAAGTTTGAGACAAGCTGAGCATTATGTGCTTATACTTGCCTTACTCAGATGTGATGTTATATGATGTAGTCTCCTTCAAAGCAGAATTTATTAGGAAAGAAATGTGAAGATGAGCTAGACATTGTAAAGTCCCGCTAGCCTTGCAGAGCCTCTTCCCACAAAAGTGCCATAAATAATAATGATCATAAAGACAAACTGGACAAATTAATATCCAGATAGTGAGACAGGAGTTTGGTTTAGGATTGTCTTGACTGAGCAGGTTGGCCAAGAAAAGCGAATGTCTCGCACTAATGTCTGACTGACTGACTCCCCATTGTTAAAGCATTTGTGTTAAAAATGAGATGGACTCCAGGTGAGAACAGTGTGAAAAACCTGTCATTACTATCGGATGAGAGAAGGGGAATTTGACCATTTTCTTTCAGGCAGTAACTTATCACACTTGGAATTCATTTAGCTCTTTAAGTTTTGTTTGTATCTCTAAGCAGGTTGTCAGCGATGTTATCTGCAGCGTCTTTAAGTTCTCATGGAGTTTTCTATGATGTTCTCCAAAGTATTAGGTAGTTTCCATTAATACTTCTTTTGTATTTTTACTGCACGGAGGGCAGGGTATGTGCTATGGCAGGACGTTTTGGGCAGACTGGTATGAATGGTCGAATACATCAAAGATGTTAACGTCAACGGCTATTGGCATGGTTTGAAATGATTCTAAAATGACCCGGCAGTGCAGAAAATGTATTGAAAAAGCTTAGATGGGTCAAGAGCAGGCAGAGAAATGAAAGGTAGAAGAGCTGAGATGCAGGAATGAATAGTAAAGTGTTCTGCACTAATCTGATGTGTAGTCTCAAAAGTGAACATTATATTTGTGGGTGCAATGTTGTTGCAGCTAGCTTGCACCTGATAATGAAAGAAACTGTAAAACTATGAAATATAGTTATGTACTATCTTTTGCTCTATGAGGAAAACTTGGCTAAATTAAGTCTAATCTGGACTTAACTGACAGAGAAACATCTATAAAAGAATATTCGTAGTTCATCCAGCAGCTGTCATTGTGGCGGTGAAGATGGTCACCTCCAGCTGTGAAACACATCTTTCAATATTAGATTCTTTGCTGTTTCCAGCATTGTACACACTGCTCTTTGGTAGGTAAGCATGCTAAAGTCAATGACTACTTTTTATAACAGATTTTCCTTTTAATACAGTTCAAAGAGATTAATCTTTCCAGAAAATGTGGTTATAGAAAATAACAAATATTGCCGGGACTTTTAGATATGCAGTATATTCAGCACTTCACGGTGCTGTTCTTTGTGGCAACAGCTCCCACCTCATTTTTTAACATGTACTTGGATCAGAAACTATTGTCATTACAGTCCTATGTCTGCATAGCAGTGTTTATGTAGTCAAGCAGACTTGCATAAATATCTCCACTGTCATTTAAGCCAGCCACATTAAATTTACTCCATAAATTACTATACAGCAACTTTTCCCTCTTGGTTAAAAATGTTGTTTTATGATCTGAATATTGTAAAATAATACTGCATCTCAATGTTAGCCATGTTACAGTCACTATTAATTAACAACTACTAACAGTTAGCAACTATCACTATCAACTTTCAAAACCCTAATTACAGTATTTATTCCTAAAAACCAGCAAAAAAATTTGGACAAATGAGGAAAAATGTGGATCAAGACTCTTTTTTTTTCATAATGACAAACCTACACTATAACTCTTACTTAAATACAGTACAAGAAGAGTAGAATGTAATATTTATTATTATTATTATTATTATTATTATTGTTATTATTTCTGTCACACATCAGTATATTTTAGTGTCATTCTGATGGGATCATTCTGCGTCAGGCACGCATGGACTGGAATGATATCCTTAAATCAGAAAAGATCCTTTTCACCAGTTTTATTATGTGATAGATTTTGTGAGTATTGAGGAGAAGCAGTAGTTTGGTGGCTACAACTGTACATCTGTACATCTCATCTGGGTTAAAGTAGTAACATGCAGAAATAGAGCCTACTTTATATGTTTATTTGTAAATGCAAATGTGCAAGTTAATGTTCTCGTCTGCAGTGGGTCAGTGGCATCAGGACCAAATTTGGACTTGAATCTCTCTTTGCAGAAATCCTGATGACAGGCCAGTTTTATGGCTTGTGAGCTCTTTTTTTGACTTGCAGTTTAATATAGACTAGGCTTGGCCTCTGAAATATACAGATGTCATTGTCATGCATGATGTCCTGCTGTCACACTTTTCTTTCTGTTTGTTTGTTGCTTTGTTGTTAGCGAAAAGAAAAGAAAATTTTTTTTTTATAGTTAGAAGTCATTGTAAATGTATGCATAAGCAAGGGGCTGGTCTCCGATTTAATGCCTCAGTTGCTGTCTTGTTTTCTGTGTGAGTAGATAAACACATTACATATATACACTTTAAAATCAGATACAGCTCTTGTTTTGTTAAGGAGAGTATGAGAACTTGACTAATGTGAATTGTGGAACTCCAGTGTGTCAGCTGGAGCAGTTTTGGTGGTTTTTCAAAGGGACCACACTCCTGAAGGAAACCTGACTTTGGAGGAAAAAGCTAACTGTGATTGGCTTTCTTCAGCTTGTGAAATAGAAGAACTAAGATTTCCAGTGTTCATTATATATGGTTTTATTTGTTTGTGTTTGTTTAGAAACAGTTTAGAAAAGACTTCACTCTTTTTTAAATCTGTGTAGTATATGTGCATCTTTTTGGAGTAGCATATATAATTTATTAGCATGTTGGTTATTATCTAAATTGTTTCCCATATCGGATATTTTTCTAACCATATTGGTAATAGCAGTGTTTTGGCACCTATACCTGCTGATACTGTAACTCGTACCTTGTGACGACAGTGGCAATGCCTTTTAAATAAGGTGGTGAAGTGCTTTTCTACACTCTGAATAACATGTACATTCCTGTGTACAGTTACTATTTTGTGACTTTGGAAGGTATAGATAAATTACTATACAACGTAACGTACATAAGATGTATTTGTTCAAGACTCCTAATTGGACTGCTGGCCTTTCTAGTCTCTTTTGACCAAATAGCTACCAGCAGGACAAAATGACACCAAATTTCAACAGTTTTTACTGTTATCATTTTTTCTTTTTTGTCTTTAAAAATAGGACCAGATTTCAGCATTTTCCCTTTGAACGAAGTACTGAATGTGTTAATGTGTCTCTTGGATCCAGGACATTTATTTTATACAAATACTATAGTGGTAATTGCTTTTTTTGAAATTACCGTTTCCTTAAATGTGCTTTGACAGTTAAACTGGAGATTGTAAATGTATAAGAGTGAGAGACATTATAAAGTAATTACTAACTGTATGGAAAAGAGGGGGAGTGATGATAAAAAATGTTCATATTCTTCTCAAGATGCTACATCCTCTAACTTTGTTTCTTGCAATAGAACAAGATGCGGTTGTACTTTAATATTACCAGTTAATTTAATATCAACAAACTGAGTCTCCTACTACATTGTGTCACATTTCGTAAAATGTCTCATTAGACACTAGTAAATGTATGTGTGCCTTGATGTTGTAGTAGTGACCAGATTGATGTTTTACCTTTGTTAATGGTTTAACACCCCACTGGGCCAGCTGCTGATGATTAGTTCTCATTAACTAGAATGTTTTAAGTCATAGGACTTTAAGTATGCTTTAAATGCTAGACAACAGTGACCAGATAGAAATGTGGTTGATAAATGTTTTGTGCAATTTCTGTCATACACTTAACTTGTTTGTACTATCGATTGCATTTATGTTATACAACATAGATGCAGACAAATCTTCTCTGAAACTGCTATGCAGCTAATATACTGTACATGTAAATCTGTTAGTTTTTAAATATATATTTTTCTATATAGCCTCTGTCATTTTCAGCCTAAAGGAGAAACCAAATAGATGTTCCTTCTATTATTTATATTGCTTGTTGAAATATTTTCTGGTGCTTTGAGTGCCACCTGACACCAATTTTAAATGGTTTTTTCAGTTAAAATGCTGATTTCTCTTCTTAACAACCATCTTAGACATGGGTTCTGTTTGGTGAGAGAAGGGTCACTAATTGTCAGTCTTCATAATTGTCCTTCTTGCTTGTAGGTTTTGTGTGAATTTCATAAACATTTTAAATTCTTGAAATAGCAAGGGGGAAATGTTGCCTTATTGTTTCTAACCATGCAAACAACTTTCAAATGTTCACCCTTGAGGAGAAAACTTTCAATGTATTTGGCTTTGTTGGGGCACCTTTCTTCTCTTGCAAATACATTTCTGTAAACTTGCTACTACCTATATTAAACATAGGCCTATATACTATAAGTGTTTAGCCTTTGACCTTTTATTTCATGTTCTTCTGTTAGCTACTACACAAGAATATTTGACTGCTGGAGGAGGATCTTGTACTAGGTGCATTATGATAAAATGTAGCTGCTTCATCACAGCTTGTCTACAGCTCTTGGAGACTCTTAAAATAGATACCTAACATTATTTAACCTTATAGGCTAAAGGACATATGCAGAAAGGGGTCACTAAAGTGCTGGTCATTCCTAAGGATCAAGAGTCATCAAAGTAAAATTCACAAAATAATCACCACTAGTTTTTGACTCAGCTAGAACATGATATAAAACTATGGCTCACATGTACCACAGTTTATTCAATAAAAGTAAAAAAACCAAAACAACAATAATAATAATAATAAAAACTTATAGCACAGTCTGACTTCATTTCCGACAGTCACTCAAACGCTCTGTGGAGTTCTCGCGTTTTTCGGTGCGTGCGCGTTCCTTGATCTTTCCGAGTGCAGCATTAGCAACATGGCTGACGTGACAGCGGAGGACGGAGCGAAACTCAGCAAAAAGTGAGCTTGTTCAGTTCTTCCATTATATATAAACCATTCTCAATCCCTTGCACACGGCTACTTTTCTCAGATAAGTTGATTCAACAGCTATGACCGTTTAAATTTAATAATGCAATATTACTAAGTGTTACATCAGGTCAGAGGGTGATAGCGAAGCGAAAGTGCCATATGGAGGCATACTACAAAGCCTACATACCCCAGGATTCAGTTCGTTTGTGTTTGTGGTACTTGTAGTCGTGAATGTGATCTGAAGCCCACCGCTCCATTGCGTTTTACTAATCAGTAAAACTACAAGGTCCAGGATACGAAGCTGTGTCTTCTGCACATTGTGTTCGTATCAGATAGTTTTAAATTACTGTCTTTTTCATTGTGGCCTTTTATTGTAGCTGTACGGCAGTATGTACATTTTGTTATATATTTGGGCATATCAAAACGTCAAAACAACTCTTATGCTAATTATGCCGACAGCGTTTTCCTTCGTTCATCTAGACTTTTCTTTAACGTTACTGGCTAGCAGTAACGCTAACTCTGAGAAACCCGCCTGGCTAACAAAAACATATGTTAACCTAAATCCGATGTCAAATTCTCTGCGAGTTTACCTTTGTTCTGAAGCCTCTTGGTTTCGTTTTACCTCATTGAGTCTTGGTACAGACTAGTGGAGTCATATGACCTCAACAGTGTTTACGTTTGCCTGGTAGAGCAAAGGCAGCCTCTGCTATATATATATTGTACAATGTCTTTGTATATATGTGTATTTTCTTAGGTCAGTCTGCTGACTGTGATAGCTCAACATGCTGCGTGTGGTCAGGGCAGCCAGGCAGCACCTGTGCCAAGCCTTTGAGGTCAGGGGACAGTGGTTAACAAGTACTAACCCATGTACAGCTGCCGTCCCAGCCCAAATTTATGGAAACCGTTGGAGAGGTGACAAAAGGTCGGTGGCTTTTCCATTTCAATGAGAAAAACAACCAACCTTTTGTCATCAGAGAAAATGTGGTCCCCATTCCCTTTCTGCTTGAACTTCCACTAAATTTCAGTTTTAGTTGCATCATTAACAGCAAACTTCAAATGCTATCCCATGGCTCATTTCCATTCCCTATGTGTCATCAGTGAGCTGAAGAGACGAATGAAAGCTGAGAAGAAGGAAGCTGAGAAAGATGCCAAGCTCAAAGAGCAGGTGGAGCAAAAGAAGGAATCCAATGACCAGGGAATGCAAAATTTCTTTGATTTGGATGAAGAGACGCTTGACCCAAAAGTAAGATTTTTGTATTGTCAGCAGGTCTAACTCTTCACTTATTGTACCCTTAATGCCTTGGTCTTTTTGTATAAATATAATTACCTGTTTCCCTCTAAAATAGCAATACTTCAAGATCCGCTCCCAGGCCATCCAGTCTCTGAAAGGCACAGCAGAAGACCCGTATCCACACAAGTATCATGTGGACTTGTCACTAACAGAGTTCATTGAGAAATACAATCATCTACAGCCTGGAGATCATCTGGCAGATGTTGTTCTCAATGTGTCAGGTGCCGGGAATATATTATAATCTATCTTTTTTTTTTGTGTGCATACAGTGTAATCCAGCAGTAGGTCCCCTGTTAACGTTCATGTATGATTGGCAGGTCGCATCCATGCCAAGAGGACTTCTGGTGCCAAGCTGATTTTCTATGACCTGCGAGCTGAAGGTGTCAAGTTGCAAGTTATGGCAAACTTAAGGTATAGAGTGATAGACATGGTTTAAGAAAAACACCTTTTGTACTTGTTTGCTCTGTACTGTGATTGAGGTTTAGTGTCGGTGCATTCACCATATTGTTACAAATTTTGACTGATAAGCACCTATGATTGTCAGGCCACCTCAGCTGACCACAAAAGAAAACTTCCAAGATGAATGTGGAGAATGCTGTTGTTGCATTCTACGTACAATGTGAAGTGATATTTAGAGGCATCAGGGCTACAAACAGATGAGTCATACAGGGTAGCTTGGATTGAGCTGAATGACTTTCAACTAGTCAAAACATTTCATGTTTCCAAGTTATAATGCTTGGTGTGGAGCAGATTTGAGAAGGTGAGGAGAGTAAAAACAGCTTTTGTGATGTCACACTCAAACGTCACTGCCGGTTATTGTGGTGTCTCCATACTGTTACTGGGGCAAATCTTTGGCCAAAAAACGGACAGTAAAACCAGTTCAGCAGTCAAAGTGACTTGAAAATTCACCTCATCAAGTTTACTTCATTATGTGATTGCAAAGTTTTGAAAATTTTCAACCAAATCATATAATCACATTTTTGTATTGTGACTCGTTAGCAAGTATGTCACTACACCCACGCTTTGTTTTTTGCATTGTGAGTATTTAAGGCGTAGTGAATTAATTCCTGTATATCTTCTTTTACTCTGCCAGGAACTACAAATCTGAGGAGGGCTTTGTGGCCATCAATAACACACTGCGCCGTGGTGACATTATTGGTGTTCGCGGTAACCCAGGGAAGACAAAAAAAGGGGAGTTGAGCATCATTCCTGTCGAGATGACTCTACTGTCACCGTGTTTGCAAATGCTGCCCCACCTGCACTTTGGCCTCAAAGACAAGGTAAATGCCACCATGATTAGACACTCTCTATGTTAGTGAGACCCCCTGCACTTTGGTCCTCTCTTCCTAAAAGGAATTAAGTCACATCATTTAGAGAGTGTAGTTTAATTCTCAGTAAAACCTACTGACAACACAGCATTATTTGTTATCTTTCAACATTTGGTTGCATCCATATGGTATTTATTTCTTAAGCATTTATGATATGAAAGGCATGCAGTGGAAGTTGAACTCCTTGTTGAATTGGTAGTACCAGCAAAGAAATATGCAGGCTTTCCTGTTACAGTGGCATTTCATAGAGCACCTCTCCAGAAGACAGTGACTTGTCAGATGCAACTGTAATAGTAAACAGGTGAATAGTGGCTAAATAACTCAACCTTCTCAACAAAACAGTACTGCTGCAGTGACTGGAGGAGCACAGTGTGTGCAAAGCATTGTTTAGGTTGCTTTTCTGCTGTTGGACAATTGGACAAAATGGTTTATTAAGAATCGTTTTTTTTATTTCCTCGTGCAGTCCACTGTGCTGCAGTTGTTACTGCTTTAGCAGTATTTTGTTGTAAACACATGATGGCAGACAATGAGTGACTTTGACACATGAAAACTGCACAGAGTTTGTGGTTATAACAAAGTATTTGCCTGAAGGGAAGATTCCAGTTTTTCTGATACTGTGTTACCTTAAAGATTTGTTGTCTGTACTTTCAGATGACACCCAATGAATCTTCTCTTTTATTACCAGAGAAAGAACAATCTTGAAAAAGTGATTTATTTATTTTTACATTTGTTTTCTGTCAACCAGCCATGGTTGCCATGTCATAAAAATGGAAAACCTCAAAGCTTTTCAGCAAAGTGGTACTAATATTACTGTGAATTTGGTCACAGTGGCCTCTGTTGATGTGAAACAGACAAACTGACATTACAATAGCAATAACTAGTTTTTACTGTGTAATCTTTCTCTCAAAGGAAACGCGATTCCGCCAGCGCTACTTGGATCTGATTCTCAATGACTATGTGAGGCAGAAGTTTATAACTCGCTCCAAAATCATCACATACCTGCGCAGTTTCCTGGACCAGCTGGGATTTTTGGAGGTAAGAACCGGTGTCTGTAGTGAATTGACACATCCAAGTTGACCATAGCACACAGCTTATTAGTTAAACAGTATACAGTATGTTGTTTTTAGCTTCACTTTATTTTTAATTTGTACAAAATAGGGAGTTTATAAAAAATGCTCTCTCTGGTAGTTTGTAGATGTTCCACATTTTAGGCAGTTACAATTAGCCAGTAAGCTTGCGTTGCTGAGTCATGTTTGTTGTTACTTTAGATAGAGACACCAATGATGAATATAATTCCTGGTGGAGCAGTGGCCCGTCCATTTGTTACCTACCACAATGAGCTGGACATGAACCTGTTCATGAGGATTGCCCCTGAGCTCTACCACAAGGTAATAAACTGTTCAAGAGTCATCCATCACTTTGACAAGTCATCCTTCTGAGTAACTAAGTACTTCCAGAGGGAATACTAGAATTTTTTTTATCAACTTGAAGTCAGTCCTTTGAATGTGTTGTGCAGAAATACACGGATGTTTTTAAACTTCACTTCAAGTTTCAGTTGAAGGGGTTTGTTACATTTCTCAGATATCTACATATTTACGCCGTCCATCATATCTTTCCTACAGATGCTTGTGGTTGGTGGAATAGACAGAGTGTATGAGGTTGGTCGTCAATTCAGGAATGAAGGCATCGATCTCACTCATAATCCAGAGTTCACCACCTGTGAATTCTATATGGCATATGCAGATTACTATGACTTGATGGAAATCACAGAGAAACTACTCTCAGGTAAGCAAGTGCAGGGTACAAAATGCAGTGTCATGCCAGTGAACTGGTTTTTCCTGTGGCACACTGAGATGATTTCCTTCCTCAGTGATGATGCTAATCCAGTGGCGGCCTGGATACTTGGGGCCAAAAATGAGTGTGTGTTGGAACAGTCTGCTGCTCACTGGCTCAGAGCAGGTTAATAACTCAACACATTTATTCTGTAATATTTTTGGTTACTTCATTTGTCAATCACAAACCCATATAAATTAAGCTCACCCAGTTTGTCATGTTTTGTTCCTCTTTCCACTGTTATTGTACACTTTTTAACCAGCTGTCATGCTCATGCAAACAAATGGTTTTATTCCTATTACAGCACGAATGCTAGCCAGACAGACCAAAGGCTGAGCGGTTCTTAATAGCTCTGTAATCCACAACAGTTGGTAGTCTATACTGAAAGCTTTCACTTTACTCTGGTAACCCTCTCCAGGCAATGGGTATCTGTTGTATCTGAACTATTTTGTTCCCAGATTGTAATCACTTATTTCTGTATGTAAAATAGTAGAATCTAAATAAATGCAACTTTAGAAGTAACTTTAGAAATATGGAAATGCAACAAAAATAAAACCTGACTTCATTTTCAGTTCTACTGTCATTGTATATATGGCAGTACAGATGTAACTGCAGATCGTATGGATCACTGTGCACCGAAAGCATAACCGTAAGATCTTCAGCATGTCTAAAAATGTGAATTCAGCTTGTGTTTAAAGAGGATGACTGTTGGCCATGACTGTCATAATCTCCATCTTATCCCACCCCATATTCAAGTGCACCACAGGTGTGGCAGGGGAGCCTGACCCGTCCTGTTTTAGTGCTGTGAATTCTGTGTATTACAATGAAATAAGAGCCGACTTTGTATTTGCTTCAGCAAGTGTTGTACAACAGTTATCCGGTTATAGAAGAGATGGCATTTATTTTAACAAAAAACAAAATGCTAACAAGATTTGCTGAGCATAGCCAGATTTATGAGCAGAAATAACAGGCTGACAATTTTTTTTTTTTTTTTTAAATAAGCAGTGATGAGAAAAAAAACTCATCTGGCCTCTTCCTTTTAAAAATGTTCCCTTTGATGAACTAACCTTGTAAAATCCTGTTTGTCAGATGAAATTAACTCCACCCTGTAAACGGTAACACCCAAATCCTCCACCCTGCACTGCAGAAGATTTTACAATCACATGCAGCCAGGGTGGAGCATGTCATGAGGTGAGCTGCCTCCTCTGGCAAAACAACAACTCACCTTTGTCAGGAGGATTGTCTTAAATCCAAAAACCTCAACATTTTTGGTTGAGTTGTTTGGAGTAGTACACAAGAAGAGGATGTGTTGCCTCAGACGCTCAGTCAAGGCAAAGAAAGTCACTGTGGAACCCAAGGTGGATTTAGTTCAGTGTTTTCACACCATGAAACTGCCACATCAGGTAAGATGTGTCAAGTGGTATTAGGAGAATATTCCATATAAAAGTAACTTTAACATGGAGCTGGTAAGGGGTCAGTGATGAGCTGGTTGGCGATTCACATCTGTGTCCCTGAGGATGACACTGTGACAACAAGACTTTATATATTTGGAAATATAAATTGACCAGAACACCATGACTTCTCAGTTTTGTCACTTCTCACTTTTCCTGGGCTGTACAGGAAAACTGTACGTTGAACACATAGGTAAACTGCTCTCTGTAAATTAGTGGTTCCTCTCTTCCTTCAGGAATGGTGAAACACATCACTGGAGGATACAAGGTGACTTATCACCCTGAGGGCCCAGAGGGACCAGCCTATGAGCTTGACTTCACGCCACCGTTCAGAAGACTGAGCATGACACACGACTTGGAGAAGGTGATGGGAGTCAAATTCCCTCCTACTGACAGCTACGATAGTGATGGTAAGAATCCTTAGAAAAGAAGAGATTGCATGTGAAAAGGTAACTGTTTCTGAAAAAAAGTAGCTTTTACTCTTTATTTTTTCTTCTGAGGTGATGTTTGAACACTTATCTGCATTTAAATAAACTGCATTGCCGCTGTGCTGTTCCATCTCCATCTTTCTCTTTTTCGTGTAATGTCAGTGTTTCTTTTTGTTTAAATATTCTAAACCCACAGCTCAGTAATACTTTGTCATTTCTGATTTGTCACCACATTTCTCTTCAGAAACACGTAAATTCTTTGACGACCTGTGCACACAGAAAGGAGTTGAATGTCCTCCACCCAGAACCACTGCCCGTCTCCTTGACAAGGTGCTGTAGTGATAAACACCACTATCTGCTGTAATTGCAGTTTATTGCTTTTTCTGCTTTGATGTCTTTACCCATTACCCTTTGCCCCACAGTTGGTTGGAGATTTCCTGGAGGTCACCTGTATCAATCCCACATTCATCTGTGATCACCCTCAAATCATGAGTCCCTTAGCAAAATGGTGAGAAGCACTTTGCTTTCACTTTCATATTTGTTATGTAAGAATGCTATGTGCAGGTTCATACTGACACTTCATCTGTTGTTACAGGCACAGATCACAGAAAGGCCTAACAGAGCGGTTTGAGCTCTTTGTGATGAAGAAGGAAATCTGCAATGCATACACTGAGTTGAATGATCCAATTAGACAGAGGGAGCTTTTCGAGCAGCAAGCCAAGGTGTGTATGAAACCCCGCTCATCTACCGTGGTCCATGGCCCCATTATCTGAAGGTCCACGGTGCCTACTGTTGCAGTGTGAGTGTCAGTATCACCGCTTGTTGATAAACTGAGCTGGATCTTTTCAGGCCAAGGCTGAGGGTGATGATGAAGCCATGTTCATTGATGAGACCTTCTGCAAAGCACTGGAATATGGTCTTCCACCAACTGCAGGCTGGGGAATGGGCATTGATCGTCTCACCATGTTCCTGACAGACTCCAACAACATCAAGGTAAAGCCGTCATATGAATTGTGATGTCCGCACACCTAAATGGGGGGTGGGGGGCATATTGACTGCACAGATGGTGAAACAAGTTATCGAGTTGTCTTTAATGGTATCCAATGTCTGACATAGTTTGCAGATTGCCATTTTTTGAGCAGAATCCCACTTTCAAAGCCAAAATACCGCTGCATATAAATGAACGATGTAGATTGCAAGGCTTATGGCATCTGTATTTTGTCTCTTGCTGCTGTCTGTTCACTCTTAACTTTGCTGATGCATTTTTAGGTAGTTACACCATCTTAATTTGTCCTGCAGTGATCATGTACATGCTGTGTGCACTCTCGATGTACATGCCCGGGCAGAAGTCTATCCAACTAGGCAACATGATGCAGTGAATATGTGCTGTTGTTGACAGACTGGATAATGCCAGCTGGCACATCGCTAAAACAACAGTTAAGATATTATCGTACACAGTATATATATCACACACCCCTTATGTTAATATACTATGAAGTGTCGTCCTAGTGGCTTATGTGAATAATCACATCACTGTAAAATCCTGTCTCTTTGCATGTAGTTAGTATTTCTCTTATGACAGTTGAAGAAGGTATTAATAGGCTTATATAAGAGCTAAGGTAGGGAAAAGATACCTTGAGTAAAACCCCCAGCTGACAGTGTTGTACTTTCACAGGAGGTGCTGCTTTTCCCAGCCATGAAACCTGACGACAATAAGCCATCGGGGCCCACGGAGGGAACATCTGTCTAATGGCAACATGATCTCTAAGCTGTCCTGCTGTCAGATCTGTGCACGAGATGTTGTGAAGTACAAGTCTTTACCTCACTGTGGTCATCAGGGGAGTCTACGGTTTTTGTTTTATCAGTGTCGGTCTGTCAAAAGTTTAATCCTTACTGTTATTATGGGAACTCATCTTGTACACAGTTTCACAATGACAAATGCATTTTGTTTCTTTTTGTATTTCTTACACCTTTTTGCTATGTTCTCCTTAATTGACTATAAAAAGACATTTTAATCCACACTGTCAGACAGTAAGTGGGTAGTTTTTGATCAGGAAGTCACATGTGATCTGATTTGTATGCAGACCTGGAGGAAATAGTTCTGAATATACTTTGAGATCCTTCAAAGGCGTGCTTGAATCTGGCTACCAAATACATGGTACGAAGGCACCATAATTGAAAAGCCCAAGCACTTCTAATAATTGTTTCAGTATATTCATCTGTTCATCACCAAGTCTGCTTATATTGTCTGAGATTTTTAAAAACAGGCTCCACAAATTCTGTAGTCCCTATCAAGATGTTTAAACATGGGTATGTCTAAATAAAGTGCATCTGAAACAACATTGTTCATTCTGTGGTGTTTGTGGACTATTTAAAGTACAAAGTGAAAGATAATGTTTTTATTATTTTCACATAATTAAAAAGAAGAAACTATCTATTAGAACTTAAAGGGTTCTTTAAAAAGTAATAGTCTTATGTTTGTTCAGCTTTGGACCACAGCCAAATTGCATATGACCAAGAAGCATTCAGTTTGTGATATTTTGTACAAGTTACAAAACAGTGGATCCTCCTGTCTTGCACATATTGTAATTTTTCAAGAAAATGACCCAAATTTCGTTTAAACTTTACCATGTATGTGTCCAGCCTACATTTATTTTCTTTCCTGTGGTCTGTGCATTTGAATTGTGTGATAAAGCATGCTCTGTGGTAGTCCCTCGACTTATCCTCATTGGGGTCATGACCTTACATGTAAAATATGGACACACTGGGGTGTTGTGGAATGTCTATTTAATTTGTACACAGTTATGATGCTGTGGCTCAGTAATTTATCTGTGTATGTTGAAAGAGCAGATGTGTCTGTCATCTGCTGTAGTGTTCAATGTGAATTTCGGACCACACTCGCCCTCCTCCTCCTCCTCCATTCCCTCCCTCCGCCCACATAATCCACCAACCCCTCCCGGCGGGAGCTCGCAAACAGTGGGATGGTGCGCGCTCCCGCGGCCAAGTCAATGTGCACTGGATTAAAGAGTCGACACGCAGGGAAGATGGCGATGAGAGCAGCGCTGCGGTGCTTCTCCGTTAACTTTTCGCCCAGGCTGCCTCAGCCCTCGTCAGCAGCGAGGCGGCAGCTGTGGAGGAGCAGCTTTCCGCGGACGATGAGCACAACCTCGCCTCTGTCAGGTAAACAAGAGACAAAACCAAAGTAGCACTGTCCAGAGGAGATGTAATGTTACACAAGTTCCTGTGTGTGTGTGCAGCGGGCGAAAAAAGTCACGCAGTTTGTGTCACTTTGGATCAGCGGAGCAGAGGAATGGTCTGGGGAGGCGCAAAGTTTGTTTAGAACCTTGTCTAAGTACCAAAACTATCAGCCACACGTTAACGCTGCGCTACAACAAGGATTTATTCTAAATGGAAGAGAGTCAGAACACCAGCTCCAAGGTGTAATGTTAATGACAGTAGCTTTTACAACAGATTTCATATACCATCTTCACTTATAGGGGCTTGTCAAACTAAGGTCACGCATGATCCTGGGCATTTGGCACACAAGCTGTGGGAGTGATGAATTTAATGTAGGCCTTTCTAAAACTTGAAACATGTTCATTATTAACTCTGTCCTTAATCCACCCAGCTTTAAAGCATTATAAGTTTCACCCAGTTAAAAAAAACAACCCTCTTCAGCCCTTTACAGCATGGATACCCAGCTGTCAGGACTGGCTCTGCTCTTCCCGGACATGCATCAGCACTTTGCACAGTTTGCAATCTGGTTCAAACCTGTATTTTTCCCTGTGGTCTGATTCCAGCACTGGAACTTGTCGAGGCATTGCAGTTCTTCCCTTGGGGCACTATAAAGAGATAAACAGCATTAGCCTTGAAGGGCTCCAACTGTTGCAGACTGAACCAGAAAAGCAGGAGGCTTTTTGGCACCTGTTTTTACAAATTTCTGCCAGGATCCAAAAGTGCACTTAAAGAAAGCTCTTGATTTTCACAAGTGAATTTCTGAGGTTGTCTCACTGCCACCAGTAAACACACATGGTGCACACATGCACATGGTGTTGCATAAGAGGCAGTCTACTCTTCAGCTTTGGTCCATAGTACAGTCAGCTATTCTTTGGACATACAGATTATATTCTTTGAGAATGGTGGGCTTCTCTCTATGTATCTCACAAGTCATCATACAGCACCAATGTTTCTTTTTAATCATGGTTCATACCAATTCATAGTTTCATGTTGTTTAATGACTAACAAAGCTATTCCCTTGTTCTGTCTGCAGCCCTGAAGTTCACAGATAAGCACGAGTGGGTACGAGTAGAGGGAGGAATTGGCACAGTTGGTATCAGCAGTTTTGCTCAGGTAGGTTCAGGTTTAGGTTCAGGTTACTTATTTTTTGTACCTGTAGGTAGATTTATTTTGCAACACACAACAATTACAAAACAAATGTGACATGAAACAAAACAAGAATTCTAAAAACAAATTAAAACATAAGGACTCAAAGTAAAAATGAGAATACTCAAGGCTCCACCCATCGAGACCTAAAAAAGAAATATCAATGCATAGAAATCGCTCAATTAATAAATAGGTCCTGGAGTAAAAACAAGTTTGGAAACCAAGATACAATGCATGTACAAATATCACTACAGCTTTGTCGGCTCAGTTTTAGCAGAAGGAACAAAGAAAGCTATTTTGTACCACGTTGTTCTGCACTTTGCAACCAGAAATCTCCACTCAGAAGGAAGAACTCACTTTGCAAAGGGTGGGAGTCATCGCTTAAAGGTTTTAAGGTTGGTGGGTCTGCCTTTTGACTACTATCAGTCAAAAATACTGATAAGATGGGTGCACAGCTCAGTGCCACACCTGCAGCAAACTAATTTACTGTTTTATGACTATTGTTTGGGACAGTAAATTACTGCCACAATGTGATGCTGTGCAGAAAACCTCAGGGGAAGTCACTTGCTTAGCTATAGCTATTCAAAGCTTTGAATGAAGCCAGATATTGTTTATCTTCGACTCAAATGCAACTGTTAGAGAAACAGTGCCACAGCTGTTTTTATGTGCTGACCAGTAACAACTAATCTGACAGTGGTCGCAACTCATATTTGCCACAAAGATCAAAATTCAAAAGCTCGAAATCAAAGTTCAGATGATTTTTATCTGGTCAAAAGTGATACCAGTAGGATTATAATGTAAGATAGTGATGTAAAGGCAAGGCATGTTGCTTTAGGTAAAATCAGGGAGGGTGATGTGTGTGTGTGTGTGTGTGTATATATATTTTTTATGTTTTCAGTCATGAAAGTAAACAAATCGCTGTCGGCTGTTATAGTAGACTATGAAGCCTGTTGGGCTATTTCATGCAGCCTTGACAATCAAGTGTGGCTGTCCTCCAGATTAGAGTCAAAATCAAGGCTATGGGTGATTTAGACCACATGCTGCATTTATGTAGGGAACAGTTCAACAGTGCACTTTGTGTGCTGGACTGTGATTTTCATTTTTACTTTATTTTATTTGCCAAATTTTTCAAGGCTTACAACTCAAAAGTGTGGACACACCTTCCCATTAAGTGGATTTTCTTTGTTTCTATAATTATTATCTACGTTGTAGATTGATACTGAAGACGGAAATAGCACAAAAATAATTATGTAGTAAGTTAATGCAAAATGTTTCATATTTTAGTCAAGAGTCAGAGATTCACGGCTTTTATGCTAAATAATCTCTGTTTTGTGTGAGAGAGACACATTTTAGCTCAAGTAATGATGAAATGTCCTGTACTGATGATGTATGACAGATGCATTGTGGGAAT